CTAATACAAAAGGAGTCCTCTTTTTCTATCACTAAACACATATAGTGCTCAGCCTATCTGAGTAAATGTAGTAAAAAATAACAATTAGTTTTTTAAGGTGATTAGTCTCAAAGGATGCCAAATCATGAGCCTATTTGGAGTATCCATATGTCTCAGTCTAGCGCAGTGAGGAGTCATGAATGCTAGAGTCTACTCAAACACTTGCTTTCACTGAGCATGCTGAGTTTCAGGGGTAGGTAAGATAGTTGTGTCCTCAAGGAGCTTTCAGCTTAATAAAGAATAAATACAAAATAATCATAATACAGGATAACATAAAATTATCAAAAACTTACTTTTAAAGGGTCAAATTCTGTTGGGAATTAAATGGCTAATTACTTTTTACAAAACTGCCAAGACAATTCAATAGGGAAAGGATCATCTTTTTGATAAAAATGCTGGAACAATTTGATACCCATATGCAGAAAAGAATAAACCTCCACATTTACATCACACCATATACAAAAATTAAACTTGAACTAGGTCATAGACCTAAATGTAAGAGTTAAAACTACATAAAACTTCCGGAAGAAAACATATGACAAAATCTTAGTGCCCCTGGGTGTGGCAAATATTCTTTAAATACAACACAGAAAAGTATAAAGAACACTTACAACTCAATGGTAGTAAGACAAATAACCCAGTTTTAAAATGGGCAAAAGAATTGGAAAGATACTTCAACAAAGAAGATACACTGATGACAAACAAGCACACAAAAAGATGTTCAATACTAGTCATTAAGGAAACACAAATTAAAACTGCAATGATATACCACTATACTCCTGCTAATGTAGCTAAAATTAACGTAATTGGCCACACTATGTGTTGGCAAGGATAGGTTCAAGTAGAACTCTTATATATGCCTGGTGGATGAGCAAAATGGCAAAAACACAGGAAAACAATTTGAGAGTTTCTTAAAAAGCTAAACATATACATACTTTATAATCCAACCACTATTAGCTATTTACCTGTATTCATATCTATCACTGCCTAGAAATATTACCACAAACTTAGCAGTATAAAACAATACACATTGATAATCTCAGTGTCTGTGGTTCAGGAGTCAGGGCACAGTTTAGCTGGGTCATCTGTGTTAGGGTTTCACAAAGTCTTATCTGAGGTTCAACTAGGAAAAGATTCATTTCTAACATCACATGGCTGCCAGCAGCATTCAATTCCTTGTGGGTTATCAGACTAAAGGCCAGTTTCTTGTTAGCTACTGGCCAGACATCACCCTCAACACCTTGCCACATGGTCCTTTACAACAAACATGGCGACTTGCTTTCTTAAAGTCAGCCAGGGAGATAGAGTCTCTCCCCTGCAAGATAAGTTTACAATGTAATGTAATCATGTACACATAATCATGTATATCACCTTTGCTCTATCTTAGTGGTTAGAAGCAATTCACAATTATAACCCTATAATAAGGGGGGTGGGGAGCAAGTCACAGATCCCACCTACATTCAATGGGGAAAGGATTATCCAAGTACATGGATAATAAGGAGACTACCTTAGAGTCTGTCTAGCACATTACTCAAGAGAAATGAAACATGTCTACATAAAAACTTGTCTACTTAAAAACTACTTAAAAACATAAGAACAAATGTTCTTAGTAGCTTTATATATATTAGCCAAAAAACTGAAAAAAACCCTCAAATATTCATCAAAAGGTGAATGGATAATTTGTGGTATATCCATACATGAGAACATTCAGCAATAAAAAGAAACAACCAATTGATATATGCAACAACATGGATGAATCTCAAAACAATTATTCTGAGTGAAAGAAGTCAGGTAAAAGGAAGTTCATATTGTATGACTCATTTACACAAAATTCTAGAAAGCATAAACTAATCTATAGTGACAAAAAGTAGATCAGTGGTTGCATAGGAAGAGTGAAGGGAGGAGAAGATGGACTACCAAGCAGGAATGAGGAAACTTTTGCAGTCATAGTTATGTTCATTATCTCGGTTGTAATGATGGTTTCACAGGTATACATACAAGTCAAAATTCTTCAAGCTGTGCATTTCAAGTCTGTGCAATTTAGTGTACCTCAAAAAAAGCTGCTAAATTATACCTCAAACAGCTTCTTACAAAAAAATTTTTAAACATAAGA